TGGTTCCGTTTCTTTAACAGAACGTCCATCAGAAACGATGAGTTGATAGTTGAGGGTTAAGAGGAAATACCGTCAGAAGAAAAAGTCCTCGTTTTTAAAATCTAATTACACCAACACAAACAGAACCTGGGTTGTATCGTGACAGGAGCATCAGAGGTCGACGTCTCTAAATAATACATCCAAACTGACTCATTTCAAATGAGCAAATCTGTTTTTGTGACATTTAAAAATTGCAAACACGCTCCGATAAACGAAAGTCGTGTTCGCTGCGGCTCCAGAAGTCGTTTCTCTGCGTTTTGCTCGTGTTATTTGTGACTTTTCAACATCTCTGAAAGCAGCGTCAGACCGAGCATGTAGAGCAAGTTGAGACGGAATAAATCTGTGTCTGTGGCTGTGCGGGAGTATGTCAAAATTTGCAATATGATTAATATTAATGTTGATGTAATTATTTTACCGCCTTGAGTGCCTGGCTGGAAATAAATTTTTAAAATTCCAGCCACATCTTTAGACAATGCGTGCAGGCTCACGGCTCGGCTCTGAAGCGCGCTGTATTGACACATTTGTCTCTTTTATTGAACATGGAGCCTCCCATCACACAGCAAAGTCTCTTTTCAGGCTGAAATGGAGCGGAACTGAAACTGTAAGCACATTTTTGATTTTTCGGTGTCAATCAATACCCATTGAGGGACGGGAGATTTAAATTGGCTCTCTGTAACTGACATGTTATCTGTGCTTTCTTTTTTTAAAGCATAACCCAATCAGGCTGCTCCTCTGGGTAAAACACAGCCTAATGAAGAACAAACACGGGACGACATCAGTCTTTTATAAGTTCCTATCAATCATAAAAGGTGTTGTGCTCTTTTATAATATCTGTGCTGGTGTCTGCAGTCAGGATAGTTACATATCAGCTCTTGTTTTCCTTCCTTTTGGAAAAAAAAAAAAAAAGAAGTACAGAAAACTTCTGCAGACTGAAAATTGCCTGAGCAAGATAATCCATCACAGCAAACACAGAGACTTAATTTGGTTTTGTCAGAGTTTCTTGTTTTGCTGTTATTTCATTGCGCTCGAGTTGAGTGTTTTCATATCAGTGCTCACATCGCATTATGTTGTGCTTACGGTCAATCTCCTGACGCACACACACAGCACAACACAACACTACACACAAACACACAAAAACACAGGTTTGTATGGATATCTTTGTGAGGGCATCAACATAATACATCATAGATAGATAGATAGATAGATAGATAGATAGATAGATAGATAGATAGATAGATAGATAGATAGATAGATAGAAGTGCCAATAGAACATGTGTTTTAATTGCTCATGGTCAGTTTAATTTGGCTTTTTTGACACAAATTTACCAAAAAAAAAAAAAAGACTTTGATGTCAAAGGTAAAACAGATTTCTACAAAACAATGTCAATTAATTACAATTCTGTCCTCCAGGATTTCTCTAGACTTTGATGGATTCATGTTACCCTCTACCTTTACAAGGTAGCTGCTGCTGAGGAGCATCATGATGCTGCCACCACCGTGCTTCACGTCATGATGCTGCCACCACCGTGCTTCATCATGATGCTGCCACCACCGTGCTTCACGTCATGATGCT